TCTCTCTCTCTCTCTCTCTCTCTCTCTCTCTCTCTCTCTCTCTCTCTCTCTCTCTCTGTGTGTGTGTGTGTATGTGTGTGCTTTTCTTTCTACTCGATACGAATGAAAATAAAATTCACGCTTGAAGTTTTTCGAACAACAAAACAAAAAATCAATATTGAACTGGGCGTTTTGAATTGATTGTCTGTGTTAGGAAAAATGGCCATAAAAATTGCAAACCTCATTAAATTTACAGTGACATAAATGCGAGTTTAAACGTATCATTCACGTTCAAACAAAATACCCATCATTTAACCAATTTCTTCATTCTGATTTTAACCGCAATTTTCTTTCTCTCTCTTTCTGTATTCCCTTTTTAGATTGTGTGTGCTTTCTTCTTCTTCAGTGCATCATTGATATCAGCAAAAAAAAAAATACATTTTCGTGTGTCGCAAATAATTCGCAACCTCGCCAAGCCAGTTTACCTGCAAGTTGAAAAAAAAATCGAAAAAGTGACGTAAACTACTTAATACAAACAAAAACAATCATTTGTTTACCGTATTAGGCCGAACGCATGAAACCGAATCAAATTGTGCAATTTTTTTACCAACACTCAATTGCATTAAAATATTATATCTTTTGTCTTCTATTTTCCGTTCGAAACGTTTATTATTGTTTATTGATTGATTGTGCTTGATTTTTTAGTCCATAAACGGTGTTAAATTTCATTTGTTGAATCATAAAAATCGATAGTTTTTTTTTGTGTGTAGTCATCGTTATTGTAGTGATTCGCAACTTGCGGATAAAAAAAGAGAGAATATTTGCGCGGTGTTGAACGGTTTTATTATCATATAAATCAATTTTTTTTGTTGTTATTACAACCATCGAAAGTGTTTCGTGTCGCGAATTATATTCGTGTTAAGTTTATGCTGGCGTAAATGGTGTCAGTTGAGATTCGTAGATCGAGAGAAAGAGATTTACTTATGCAATCATATACGGCAAGCGTAGCATGAAAACGAACCTCATGCCATTCCAGTGTATCCAACTATAGACAAACAGACAGACAGACACAGTATCATATTGGCGTTTGAACATACGGTAAAATTGACTTGAATTTCTTTGCTACTGTCAACAAAATTGCCGTTGTTGCTTATTTTTCCATCGACCAATTCCAGTGCAGAATATTGTTACATGACTTTTTCTTTATGGTAAGTGAATTTTCTAGCTACATTTTCGCATCTCAATTTTCAAATGTAGACTTTTCAATTTTGTGTTTGTCACACAGACATAATTTTTTTTTGCTCATTTTTATGCATCAATAAATGTCTTTACCGAGTCACACCCTTTTGGTATATTTTATAATTGAGTTAATTCACTAAGCATTTTCATTTCGATTCGAAATCAATGAGTAGATTAAATCACATGTTGAACGCACTCGACTGTAAATACTTCGGAACATATGTGAGTGGCTTTTCAAAATAAAAGTCAAATTCCAAGCAAAAGTGGACGAGAAAAAAAAATCAATATTGCACGACAATCGTCGATTGAGTAACCGAAATCATGGCCGAATACAAGGGGAAAAATTATAGTATTCGTTGAGTTCAGTTTTGGTTGGAAAATAAAACAAAATCTGAAGAAATAAATTCTGTCAAAGCAACGAATGAAACGGAAATGTTCATTTTATAGCATTCAAATTTATTCACTAAATCCGACACATAATCTAACGTTTTTTTCCTCTTTTAATATATTGAGTTTTGAAATTCATAATTATACAAATTAAACTGAGACTTATGGGGCAGTGTCTACTGGTTATGGCCACAGTATATGTTGCATGGTTCATACTTTTTTTTTGGTCTCGTGCGCTCTCGACCACCGCATGCACGTATGTGTAAAACATACATGAATTCGATGTGCGATTACGTTGAGTTTTAGCCCGTGCATTAGAGAGTCACATTATTTATGTCGGCCAAGTGCAATCAATTTCAAAATTGCCTCACACTCAACACGGCTTGGGCTGAAAGCCATAAAATGAAATTCATAAGCGAATTTTCATGTATATTATTAAAACGAATGGCAATATGGAAAAAAATGAAGCACAAACCAAATATTTAAAAAAAAAACCAGCAACAACACAACGATAGTAACTACAAGCATACTACTAACACCGTTTTGTTTTGATAATTTGTTGTGTGTTGTTTCTTTGGCAATCACGCGTTCGCGCGCTTACGAGCCTATGGTGTGCGCACAATTGTTCGGAATCGAAACGGCTTCGCATTGAAATTTTCACACGACTGCAGCTTATTTTTGGAATGTGAACACTGCAAATGTTGCAAAAACATTGTTCTCAAACCAAATCCGAAGACAATGTGTAACGAGCAACCATTGACGGAAATGCAAAAATACTGATATTTGTTTAAAAACTTTTGTCCCATAGAATTTGTCGGGCGGTCGGCCTTTTTTGTTCGATTTCTTGTGGCCAACCACAATAATAAATGCATCGCAAATAGGCGGATATTTGTTTTAATTTCAACCACTTCAAAGCAAAAATAACAGTCTCGCATTTAACAACAGAAACAAATTGTAAAAAAAAAATGAAAACAAGAAAACGACAAAACAGAGGAAGTAATATGTTCTTTTTCCATGATGTTGGCTTTTTGGTTTGAAGCGACGAAAGGCCAATTACATTTTCGTAATTTTATGTTGATTAAACGTTGAATTATTCAAAACATTGACAAACGAGAATGCATTGTTCTTGTCATCGAAAAGCGTCGCTTGGATAATTTAAGCGTTATTAAACAACATTTGGCACAGCATAATATCCCGAGATTCACTGAGTTTGCATTTTTATCAGCATCGCGCTATATTTTTAGCACATTTTGCCTATCATCAACGCCCAACCAACGAGATACGAGATAGCCGAACGAATGGTCGGTTCTTGTTATTCATTGTGATGGTATTAAAATATGCATTGTGTTTTCTCTTTGCCTCAAATAAAATGCGAAGTCAAAAAACCAGCAAGAAATCTTATGAAGGGTAATTTCATTCATGGAATTGTGAAGATATAGCGTACAATCAGCAATTATATGGTTATACTATTGTACAGTCCGGTGATTGAGTTAACTCGAAAATGATGAACAAATGTTTTCAACACTATCACCGACAGATTGGTCAATTATCCTTAATCCATACGCAATTATCAAATTTCCCATAAGGTACGTATGTAGCATTCGATTTCGATTTGAAATCACGTCTACTATTACTGGACAGTCATTTTATTTGTCAAATTAGTTTTTCGATTTATATTACGATATGTACGTTATTATTCTAATTACAATGGAAATCCTATGAAATTGAGATTTTGAAATTTACCGTAAACAATTTAATCGGTTACCTGTGATTGATCTGTCATTTAGATACATTAAATTTCTAGAAATATTATATCATTTTGAGGGTGATGTAATTTAATGATATTGGTAATGTAACCAAAGTCCATTTCGATTATAATGGATTCCGACTATTTTGTATATGCTTATTAGAATATTTCATAAGATTGGTATCAGAGTATAATGAAACATATATCAAATTAAAGCCATTGACCGACAATTCAATTCGTTGTTCGTTGTTCGCTGGCGCCCACTGTTCATACTTGATAATTTAAAAGGAACTGTATGTTTCGAATGAGAAAAGTCAGTGGCATTTCATAGAGTAAGCAACTCAAAACCGTGAATGGATTGAATTAAATATGCGTCACTATTTATCCAGTAGATTATTTCTTACTTTAGTATTTTCCATGAATATCGTCCGATGGGGAGTAATTCCTTTCTGTATAAATGCAAAAGAGCCAACACAATTATACCCGTTCATTCGAGTGAATTGTTTCACTTAATGTTTTATATTAGTATACATTGTGTATTATGATAACATTTTCCCCTCTACGTTTTAATTTACGTACACTTACATTTATTTATTCATGGTTTTTAACTACACTAAAGAACGTCTTTGCCCTTTTAACGACGCTATTTTTCATATATCTAAGTTGTAATTAAATGCTGAAACGAGAAATGAAAATGCGAATGGTGTCATTCATATACATAAAACAGTGACGAAAATAGAAAAACATCGACTTACTTGCTTAACTCGAGCGAATACGAAAACATCGTTTCGACACAGAACACTGTTTTTTTGCACGGTTTTTTGTGTTTCGCATTGAACAGACATTGAAACCGAAACAAACAATACATTAAATTACACGCGAAACATTCTATGTATTTTTCGGCACATTCTAAAAATTAAATCACAAATAAATTCAAACAGTAAAACTGTATGGAAATCGATTTGCATGTAGAATCTGAGGTGTGGAGTGTCCAACGGTTTCAATGTCTGGCGTTAAGTGTTCGAAAACTCTTGAAAACGCAGAGATCAAGGTGTTTGGAATCATACACTTTTAGTAAAACCGACATTCAAAATCATATGGGCAATGCGACTGGTAAAACTTTCAAATCCGAAATCGAAAGTGTTCGGCACAGTTTTTTTCCATTAAATGTCTTTTGACCTACACATGGTAGTTCTTCTTTTTCTTCGAACATATCGGTCCACGGGTGTTTTCAAGTGCTAACTGCTGGAGATAAAATTGTAAACTTGTTGGATTTGTTGGCGAGCAGCACACAAAAAATGGTCATACATTGAACACGCGAAGAACAAGGTGAGAAACGAATTAGTTTATTATATGTGCTCCTTTGCTGCACATTTTTTTCTTGTCTTTGAGAATGTTATTCATGTTTATCTACACTTGCGTATCATTTTTTTTTTCAACTAATTTTAACCACAGCCCTTGACAAACCGCTCAACTTGATCAAATGGTCAAAGACATCAGAATTAACAAAAATTATCTTTTTTTGTTGTTTTTTCCTTTTTTATATATTTAGAAAACTAGTTTGAACGTCACATATTTAATCAAAAATTTATAATTGCCTGACAACTGAACTGCGATTTTGTTTTGTCAATTGAATTCACTGAATTCAGTTCCACAAAAAACCTGAAGAATTACCTGTCATAACTTTAATAAACAGTAAATAGTATGTCAATCAAATGCCTTTATTTCTATTTTGTTTACTTTATGCTTCTATGTGTCAGAAACACATCCACGCCATTTTTTATTTCCAAACATTTTTAAAGCTACTACTTTTGTTTTCCTCTCGTTATTTGTTTGTTCATTGTTGTTTAAATTCGGATGCGCAATTTTTCACTTAATTATCAACGCTTTCAAGTTTTAATAGAGTGTTGAATTCCATGTGAATTTCATTCCTGCGCGCAATTTGCTGCACATCATATACGACTAAAAATCAATATTCGAATTTGATAATCGAAAACAATGAACGTGCACCAATTTTGCGAAAGTACAAATTTGCTAAATATTCAAAAAATCATAATTGAAAAATTTATATGTGCGAACGCGCTTGTCTGAATATTTGTGTAAAGCAAAGAGCAAAAAAACCGAAGCATGGTCTGACACATCTATTCACTGAATAGTATTCAGTCGAATGTTTTTTTTTTTTGGTAATTTTATCAAAATATACAGTTTTTGTTTCTGTTTGATTTTGATATTCAATTTGCGTATGGTGATTATTCGATGAGGGACTCTCGTATGATATCAGCAATGTGCAACTTTTATATTTATTGGTAGTTTCTTGTTTCAATATAGAGAGAGCAAAAAAACTATTTCTGCCGATGATGGCAACCAAAATGTGTTCTGTGCAAATAAAAATAAAAATTTATTCAAAATCCATGGAGACACTTTCACACACACATTTCCATATCACATATGTCATGATAAATACCGAAATGTTCGCTGATTTTATGGGCTATGTGCCCGCAACTAAAACAAAAAAAAGCGCCAGACAAAAACGTTTTAGGCCGGAAATAAAGTTTTTGACAAGAAATCACAATTTTATTTCAAAATAAATTGTTTATTCCAAGCATTGAGTTGGAATGACAGACATAAAAAAGCAACAACAATGCACAAACGCGATAAAAATGCCAATTTGTGCAGTGAAAATGTTTGTCTTGAAAGCGAATTGTGTCTGGGCACAATGAACGGCATGTTAAATTCAACAAATTATGTAAACAATGCGCGAAAACAAACAAAAAGAAAAACAAAAATCCAGCTTATGTTGTGCGAGCGATTGTATATGTGTGATGGAATCGAGTC